ATTACTGGGATGCCCCTGATTAGTGATGGGACACCCAGATGACTTAAATCATTAAACAGGATTAGGCCCATTAACACAAGCCCAGTTACAAGATAAGTTAAACATAAGAATGGGCTAATAAGAACTCTTATCAGCCGAACATCACTCTAACATTCTAACAGAAATTTCATTGATTAATTAAAAGGATTACATCAGATGAAAAAAGAACAGATAACCTCTCTTATCTCTCCCCAGAAGCAGATATTGACCTGACATTTGGCATTCAAAAACCTTTTTCAGCCTGAGATTTTACCATCATATCAGGCAATGACCCCTATCCCTAGCCTGGTCACCTACCAAACAAAAAGGAAAAGAAAAACAGATATTACATAGGGGGGCATGGTCCAACACAAGAATGCAGTTCAATGAATTGCTCATCCAATAAATTGCCAAAAAAAAATAAAAAATCCATGCACAAACATAATGATATATGACATTTCTGTGAAGTTATCTTATTTTAGTTGAACAATCAATTGTGGATGGGAAGGCATATGCTTCAGCAAACGAGGAATAAATTGTATCATGTAATTAGACTATGAAAGACCAAAACTACACTTCAACATAGGCATTCACTCACCAATGGTTCAGGCTGTGCCTGTTATCAGCTTCTCTTGTTGATCTAATTTTTTGACCTTGAGAATGCCAAAGAAAATTTGAATGCCAAAAAATGCACAAAGTACGTATCCTACCATAGCAGGAACCTATAAGAATGAAGGGCTTGTCAGAAGCATGAACAGAAACCATGTATATGATGGAAGGCACATATTCACATAATATGCAAGAAATACAGATTAACAAGGATGGGCTTACTCGAATTGAATTTAGATACAGTACTGTTGCCAGGTTTAGTAGACTTCCAGCAACCACTGCCTGTAACGTAAAAAAGAGATCCAGTCACATGGTAAAAATATCTTGTTCCATAATAACAAATAAAATTTTGTCATCTTAAATTTCCCATGTATCATGACATGGAAAAAATCACGAGGAAAGCTACAACAAGCTACGGCCCTAATTCTATGTCATGAACTAAAGTTGCATTAGTTTGAAAATAGCACATCCAATTCAAGACTACTATTGCCAACTTGTTCATGAACTAAAGCTGCAAGTTTACAAAAGCATATCAAATTTAAGATTTGGAAACTATTTACAAAAAACTTTCTTTCTGGGTTCAAACTTTGTCAATAGAAAACATCTGATTTGATATATCTATTACAGGTTTAGGTGAAATAGTCAACAAATTAAAACACCTGAAGTAGCACAGACAGATGTTCCCAAAGAAGTGAGAGCGGAGTGGAAGCCACCTGCACTGAACAAATTAAAACTAAACTTTGATGGGAGTTCCTTTGGCAACCCGGGAAGGGCAGGTATAGGAGGTGTTATTAGAAATCATCTAGGTGAAGTTATGGCACTCTTCTCAGGACCAATAGATATTGGTGACTCAATACAGTCTGAATCATTGGCTCTACTTCAAGGCTTAAAGATGGCTGAGCAGATTGGTACAACAGACTTAGAAATAGAAGGAGACTCACTGCTGGTCATTTCTTGGGCTAAAAACATTACATCAGCACCTTGGAAGCTCAAATTTATATACAGAGAAATTGACATAATTGCAAGGAAGTTCAACACTCAGTTTGGCTGGATCAAAACAACTGCAAATGGGTTGGCGGACACTCTAGCAAAACAGGGGGCAAATAGATCTACCTTGTACTGGGCAGAACTGTAAATGCTTTTTAGTGTTTGCAGATTGGGTTAATGCTTTCTGCAACCTTTATCTATTGTATTTCAATATTTCTCTGTTATTAATAAAATCTTTTTGCTGATAAAAAAAAATAGTCAACAATACCATTCTTTTTCTTTTCTTGCTAGGTATTATATTTGGATTGGCTAATGTCAACCCACGATGATAACTATCATTATTTTTGAAAATCTAGCATATTATCAGACTTTCAAAAAGTGTAAAAAAATGCTAAAGGTTAAGTCCCTATCCATGGGACTTGAACCGTGGCACTTTTTGTTGTGATAATGATTATTTTATTATACAAAATGCACTAAAAATTAAAAATATTATTTAAATAATTAGGCATTCAATTATACTACATTGAAGACATTATCAATTAAGGTTATTTTTAATACTATTCTAGATTATGTATGGCTACCTTCATTTACCAACTCCCTACAGTCTAATGTGGTCAGCGACTCAGCAAAGGGTCCTGCTAGGTTCTTTGTTTGCCTATCCAATGGACTAACTAATGTTGGTTAAGTATTTTTGAATTGTTATAAAAATATTGTGAAATATTATAATAATTTTAAGAGATTCCTATTACTTATGTTTTAATGAAATATCAATAGTTTCAGATTTAATATTGAAATTTTCTGACAACAGTTCAATATCTTGGGAATTTCCATAATTTCATTTAATAAAAATCAAGAGATACACAGTCATGATTTTTTTTGACAAGTCACAGTTATGATTTTTTAGCACTGTATAAAGTAATAATTGCGCTACACTCACATTTCCCACTGTCTTTTGAACAGCTGCAACACGTTGGAAAGCCCTCTCAGACTCCAAAGTTCGAACACGAAGCTTCAGATTACCTTGTTCCTATAAAGAGAGATGCAAATGCAGTTAAGGAATTCAAGGTCTATGACAAGAAGAGAAACAGAACCCAGATTACTCAAAAACTCAAAATATAATGAAAATAATGGGGGAAGTTGAGCCACTACCAAGCGCTGAATGATTTCAGCAAGCTTCTCAACTCTGTCAGCCTGTCTAAATATGTTGGCAAATGCACGGGATTGTCGGTCCCATCTCTTTTTGAAGTCCTGAAATATTAATTGTCAATCACATGTTAGTCGTCATAGATATGGCACTAAACAGCATGTAATGGAAAACAGGATTCATGTAGCTGACCCCTGTGAGTCATCAGATTATAATACTCTAGCTGACCATGGTAAAATCAATATAACTTAAGAAACTTGCCTTTATGATAACTTCAACTCCAGCTTCACGAAACCTCAGCAATTCCATGGCATAACTACAAGGTAAAGTGTCAGAGAGACAAAGATTACAGGTAGGAACTAATATTCAAGAGGTCCTATCAATAAATTATAAAGAATTTCAATAACTTCAGAAATACTCACGGTTTGGCAATTTCTGTAATGTCAAATCGAGGGTCAAGACCCTTCCCAATGCCATCCAATACTGCACCAACAACAGCTACCACTTAAGAAAATGTCGCAAATAGGTAATACAACTTTTAAGCGGTTAAGTTTCTTAGCCACTATACCTGAAAATGCTCTAACAACAAACGTGAAAGTGGCAGGAAAACGAAAAGGTTGATCTGCAGCAATTGCCAATAGATCCTCCCCTGCAAACAGAACATGACAATGTTGAGTCCAACTCATTCCACCTTCAACATTGAATGCATGGATATCTAGTACCTGCTTAGCTGTATCTTTAACGTAACAGTAGAAAATTTGTGTAGTTAAACTTACTTAAAGATCAGAAATATCTAGAAACTAAAGGTCAATTGGATATGTCCGGGTTTTCATAACTACAATAGATAAGCTCATATATTCATGTCAAATGCTGAGACTAGACTCATGAGGATATTTAAAGCCAATAAAATTGGAGTGACAAAAAATTGCTTATGAACATATTGTACCCTCAACCTCCCCTTCCTTTGGCTCCTTGTTCTTGTTTAAATTCAAAAACAATCAAAAGTCAATGTAATCTTCATTCAAGTCTTGTAGGAAAAAGCCTAACTTCCCAACGCAAAAATTAAGTCTAACCTACCAAACACTAGTAAGTTAATGGATCAAATCAAATGGAAAGTCATTAAGGCCTTGATTCACATGCATAAAAGATATGACAAGTGCATTACCAATTGCAGCTAGCCGTTGCTTCTTTTTCTCTATCCTTTCCTCCTTAGTTAATGGTTTTTTAAAGCCAAGCTCTGTTTTAGCTATCTCTCTCTCTTTCCTTTGCGCTGCAAGGCGCTCCTCAAAGCTGTATGCAATTTTCAATTACATGGATCAGCAATAATATTTGTAACATGAGAACTAAACATTTAACAAATCTCTCTCTCTCTCTCTCTCTCTCTCTCTCTCTCTCTCGTGAAAGCACCTATTAAGAAAGAATTGCGCTGTCCTTCTAACAGCTGTCATATCTCCAGTAGGCACGAGAACACCCATCTGGATCATGGCCTGAAGCACCTGCAAAAAAGCAGTTTCTTTGAAAAGTAAGTCATAATTCACAATAGGGTACCACAAGGACCAGTAACTTGACATAATTGCAACATTCTTGCAATAGTCATTGTTCATTCAGTGTGAGCTGCTTTAGAAAAATTTGGTGTGTAATATAGACTAAAAAATATTCTAATATATATATACCATTCGGGATGACAATTAAAGGGAAGAGTAATTTACTTTATCAGGGTCCTTCTCATAAATTGCATAGAATGCTTCAAGTAGGCCCTCTCTGATATTTGGACTGATACTGCAAGGCACCAAACCACGAGTTAATTAAATGTATATGATATTTCTCAGTATCAGCAGAACAGTGGGGAGATATTAGTGGGGAAAACTATTATCAAGAGCTAATCATCACCAAAGGTCTGAAACTAGAAAATACCTTCCCATCATTCCGAAGTCGTAGAAGATAAGCCGTCCACCATTCACATCATCCACAGCAATATTTCCAGGATGCTGCAGAAAGGATGTTCTGGTTAAAACTTCTGAAATGACAAAATTAGTAATAAGGTTGGCATTGCGGGCAGCCAGGAACTAATGTAATTATGAAGTCCATGGGGTGCCCTCTTAACAAAGAAGCAGATTTCATGAATTTTTATGTCATATTCATTATACTATCTATTTTATTTTACATTCAAAAAATATTAATTGTTTGTGATTTGGTGCAAATTCAAGGCTTTAAAAAATGGAATTTAATTCATGAAAGGAAACAGACTTAGGAAGTCAGAGAAGATATGAAAAAATATGCCTTAACAAAGATATGGCCCTGGGCAGAATGGATCGACAGAGCAGGATTTATGCAGCTGACCACAAAAAATAGGATAAGGCTTTGATGACGGTGATGATGATATTTCATACTTCAGCCTCCTTTTTAACTAACATGTCATGATATTGGTACATAACCCTACAAAGTCCTGATTGAAGAACTAACATCATTCAACCACTGGGAATATACACGAGGAAGTATAAGTGAAACTTGAGGGGAATAAAAGGAGATTATCATAATGCATAAAGCTTTAGAAATTACAATTACCATGGTGTCTCATGAACCAGAAACTCAGGATATGATTACACCAATAAACAAGGAAAATTTTTAACAAGGCTTCTTTTCTTTCATCTTTCATTAATGAAATGATTCTGTTATTGATCATATAAAAAAAAAAAATCCAACAGTTCCAGAAGAGGCTGCAGTTGTGGACAAGCATACTGAATACAGACTGGTAAAATCAAAAAAGGTTTTTGAATTGTTAGAATTTGATACCCAGATAAATGAGAACAAAACTAATGGTTTTGGCTAAGGTTAAATTGTAAACTAGTAAAAAAGCTGCTAACTGACACTATGATGTATGAAGTTGTGTAGATAAAACCCTATATTATGGAAACATGGGTTGATGTCTAGGCTGATGTCTTTGATTTCATATGAGAAGACCAAATGAAAGCAACAAACTTCTTTCCCCTATCCTATACATGGCCAGGAAGACCCTGAAACTAGCAAGGACAAAAACATTGAATCTCCCCCTTTCGACAGAAACAATTAATAGGAAAAGGGGAAATCCTTGTGCTAACCTTTATGCTACCTAACTTAAAACCTGACAATAATTTACCCTTTTGTTTATAATCCTGCAAGTTAGAATGCTAATCAAATTTCTACCATTTTATTAGTGGGAAAACAGGATGGAAGCATGTGATCTTATGGATGAGGTGCAACCTACCAGCCATTACATTAAGGTACTTATAGAACCTACTCATTTTCATTTTTAGAATGTGAAAATTTCATCAGATGTCTGAGCAAGACAAGACAACATTTGTAGGAAATCTTCAAAAGTTACTTATTATAATGCAAACACACATCAAGATGATCTTTGTGATGCTGCAATTTTAGGTATATTTATGGGATACTTCATTGGTTAACCTTGAGAGAATCATTTATCACTGTCTAATCTAGCATCAGAGGCAACCATGATGTAATTTTTCTTGGCATCTTTTTGAGAAGTTCCTAACCAAATTTCATATTAGTTCCAAGCCAGGTTTGCAATTTTGGTTTTAGGAAGAACTTCAGTCTACTGAAAATGAAAATTTTGTAGGAAATTTAGGAAAGCATAAAGATCTCAAATGGAGAAAATTTTAGGACCATGAAAACTTCCAATGTAATTCCAGGAAATGAGAAAATGGTATAATAACTACACATATAGGACCCAGAATACAACAAAAAGCTGACCATGTATGATATTTTAACAAAATTATTCACCAGCAGGGGCAGAGCCAGGATTTTTGTTTTTTNGGGTGGGTAAAGGCTAATATGAAAATAAACATGGATCCTAATTTCTTTTTTTGGAGGGGTTCTTTCTTTTTAAATTGTATGTAAAAAGGAGGGTGAGTCTGGTTGGCAGCCGGCACTAAAACTTTTGCCAAACTCTCATGATATGGACGTAAAAAAGAGAATATATAAGCTATTCCTTCACTAATATTTTATGAATTTAATTGTTCACTCTCCATGAAATCTAGGTATTTATTTTTCAGTAGACAATGTTTTCAGATACAGTCCATTCTCTTAGTGTTTTTTTTTGAGAAAAAAGGTGAAAAGAAGATAAAATTCCTAGTTTTGCCCCTTGACTCTACTCTAACTTCCAAATAAGGGCAGTCTGAAAAATAATCCTAGCTTAACATTTTCTTTTTTTTTTCTTTATTAACTAGAAAAAATTCATGACTATTAATTGGCTAATTTTCTCACAGGAACATTATGACAAAATATTTCTAAGAAATACAGGAAATCTAAGTTGCTAACCAAATATCCTTTTCCCTTATTCATGTTCTATCATAACTAATATATATATATAATAAGTAGATTAATTATGTATTTACTTAATTGACTTCTCAGAGCCCGTTTGGGACTTTTGTCAAACATATGGTTCTCATTAATGAAATCCCTTGTCTTTATCGAAAATGATCCCCCTTTCCCTCATTCATCCACCGAGCGTACAAAATAATAAAAAAAGACACCAATAAATAAAACAAAAAAAAAGAGAAAACATAGAAATAAATCTTAAGAATGTAAAGTTGTACCTCAATTTCAAATCTGCAATGTAAAACCTCTTTTCTTTGGTGTTAACTTCTACGTATTGAAAATATTCAGGACTGATTGGCATGGGAAACTCCTTGAAGGCTGAATTGTTGGCCTTACTGCAGGGGCTCAGATTAGCTAAACAGTTCGGTTTCAGATCAATTGAGGTGGAATGGGACTCAAAAGTAGTTATATCTTGGGAAAATGCAAACAGGCACACCCCTTGGACTCTTAAACATGTAGTGAGGGAAGTGGAAAAGGTCGCAAGGACATAGGAGAAGAGTTTAAATGGGTCAGAAGGACTGCAAATGGGTTTGCTGACTCCTTAGCTAAACAAGGAGTTACAAGACAACTTTTGTTCTGGGCTTCTATGTAGCTTGGGTTTGAGGAAAGGGTTTGACAGTTCTGTACTCATATTATACTAAGCATCCCTTTGTCTATATAAAACTTAATTTCTGCTGATCAAAACAACATATTCTAACTTGCATACAGTGACAAACTGATAACAAAATATTAAGAAAACATAACTCTTGAATTCCTCTAATTAATCGGTAACATAATAAAAAGCGTTTAAAAATGGATGAGATTCATTGATTCAAGAGAACATCTGACTAATTTATTATTTAGTTACTGTGTGCAGATAGTGGTGTTCTCAGTTCTGTCTGTATTTAAGAATCACTAAATCAAGACTTCAAATTCAATCAATGGTTCTGGTTTTGGGCAATGTTCAAACTTCAAACTTCAAGTATTCAACGGTTTGTGTTGTGGTTGAACAGTGAACGCAATGAATAAACGGCTCTGGGCAGCATTTGGGCTGTTGGGCAACATTTGAAGCTCAAAATCACCTCATGGTTCTGTGTTTTTTATTTTTTCCTTTTTTTTTTTTCCAAACTATAGGTCACTTTTGACCATTAGACCTGTTCATGGGCCAGGTAGCCTGATGGGCCAGCCTGGCCTGGCCTGTTCTAAGTTGGGCTTGGACATGACTTTAGGCCTGTGGGCTCAGGCTCGGGCCCAAAACACCAGGCCCAACCATTTTCGGGCCGGGTTCGGGCTTTCTCAAAAAAGCCTAGCCCGAGCCCGAGCTTGATAATATATTATATAATAAAAAAATATATTTATGAGATCTTTCATTATTTTTGGGGTTTGAAGTCTTTTAATATAAATAAAACAGTTTTTTATTGAATAAAAATATTTTTTCAAATTTATAGCCGGGCTTCGGGCTTTATACGAGGGCCAGGCTTGGGCTCAAGACCTAGGCCTGATGGTTGGGCTGGGCTCGGGCTTGGGCCTGAATGTATTCTGTTAATACAGAGACAAAGTGCGGCCCGAACCCGGCCCATGAACAGGGCAATTAACCATGCAAAGAGTATCAAACCATTGGGGGGGGGGGTCCCCCTAGCTCTGCCCCTGTCACCAGCATATGTATATACATTGGCATTGGAATTAGCAACAGTTTAACAACCAAATTTCATTCAAAGCAAAAACGTCACCTAACGACTAAAAGTATACAAACACAAGAAATAGATCGTTCAAAACTAATGTCTATATCTTTATTACTCTATTTTATATTTTATTTTAATTTTAATATAAACAAAAAGAGCGTACAGGAAAAGAATCTAAAAAATATGTCAGCAAAAGGCAATTAATTGCTTTTCTTACATGCTCAATGAAATAACATTTACCTGTCCACCGTGCGGATGTATTGCGTTTGTCATATATAAGTCTTGTTTTAAGAAATTATAGCTGTTAGTTTCTCCTAAGCTTGCTAAAATCCACAAGAAGCAATTAAGGTTTTCTTGGTCTTATGATCAAAATTGATAACTCCAGTAAAATATTTCTCATTTTGATTGAAAATTTGTAAGTTCATAACCTAAAATTTCACAAAAGCTGATCTTTGATGCATATTGAAGAAAACATTGCCATCATTTTATTAAAATAATGTAATTAGTGGAATTCTTTTTGTGGACATTTTAGCACTCCTTAAAATGGAAACTCACAGGGGAATTGCATTTCATGATTCCCAACAGTGACAACTGTTGAGATAGATATACCCAACACGAGGTTCCAGCAGTTATGTTAGCCTAGTTAAGAAAACTGCTTCTGCTTGCACTTGGTTGATCAAACCTTATTACACCTATAATCTACAAAACCAGTCCTGTAAATGACCTGCAAACTAAAACTGAAATGAAATCAGCTCAGAAGGGGGCTTCATTTGCACAAGATGTTGGGGAAACATTCAGGTATTCCATGCTCTCATAGTCTGATTAGCAGGTTTTCATAATTCTATGGCTGTTAGATGTTTCTAAGGCTACCATTAGACCCCATAGATGACACTTCTCATAATTAGAAAGTAATTTTGAACCATCAAGAAACAGTACATTCATAAAATGGGTTTATAAGATAATAGGTTGTAGAGATGGATGAGAGGAAAGGTAAGGATAGAATAAGAAACAAGTGTATTCATGGGAACCAAAGGGTAGCCCCAATTGGTAGCAAGATAAAGGAAAGTTGACTAAGATGCATTTTTTTAGCTTTCTTCTTTGTTGGGTGAAGAGAAGCGCTAACTCAATGGCTGATGGGTTAGCCAAGCAAGGGCTTAAGGAATCTATGTTTTGGGCTAATGTTTAGCTTTCTTCTTTGTTTCTTCTTTGTTCCTTGTTGTGGGGGAGTTAAGATAGTTTACCTCCCCTTTCTTGTACTTAAAGTTTCACAAATATTATTATTTAATAAAGCATTTTGTTACTGATAAAAAAAAAAGTTGACTAAGATGCATTTGTCATGTGGATGAAGAGCACAAACTGCACTTGTTATAAGGAATTTCAACATTCTAGAACCGCTAAGAAAGGCCAACAAGGATGTGGATTGAGTAGTAACAAAAGACCACAGAGATCATAATTTAATAAGATATGATCCATGATCTGGGGCAGAGACAGGGGAGGTCCCTTTCCCCAAGTTTTTTTTCAAAAATCCCATATACTGCTATAATTTTGCAATATTGTGAACCCCACATCACTTTTGTTTATTACAAGCTGTCCCTCAACTTTTTCCTACCTCTACCTATTTGCATGAAAGAATTGGAAAGTGCAAACAAGTTCTGTTTCCTGAATATAGGCTCAGGCCTTCAATTTTGGCTCCATGTTTTAGTTTCACAAACTTTTTATGCTGGTCGATCCCAAATAGAAAAATGTCTAATTACTCTGGTAAAGATTTAAAGAGAACAATAAGTGAAACTTACAGGGTCAGCATGGAAAAAACCATGAGATAATATCTGTTCCAAGTAAGATTCAACAGCATAGCGGCCCAACCTACAAGAATGAAGTGGCAAGATCAAAATCATTTAAACAGATAGAAAGGAAATTTTGTTACTGGAAAGCAAAAGGTGGAAGGTTATGCATTTGATTTTTTTGATCAATAAAAGGAGAAAGGTCATGCATTTGATTCCATCAGTATACATGTATCCTCACCTTTGCCGATCAACACCCAACTCATCCAAAGCTTTTATCCTGTTTATCTTTATTCCAGGGACATATTCCATTGTCAGAACCTACAGTAGCAAATAAAGTCCAACTAAGTGAAGGATAAGAGTAAAATATGGAATAGAAACTGCCTTGATAAAAGTTGGATAACATTGAAATGGGGAACCTGTGGCGTAGTGTATTCCCACAATATTGTTGGGACTTTTACATAATCCATGTTTTTGAAGTTATTTGCAAACCGTTCTGCATTAGATGCTTCCTTTGTATAATCGATCTCCTGAAAACAGGAAAAGGTATTTTTGCATGTTTTCATCATAAATGTAGTAAGTTTTGGAGAAATAGAGGCACAATATCAAATGAAAGCAGATTAAAAGCAAAGACTAATAATCTGCATTGTATTTTACAATGCAAGGATAACTGAGACTACATATTTGAATATGCATGATAATTGATAATTATATTTTTCACACAGTTGGAGATAGCAAACTGCTTTTCTATTAAAAAATTGCAATTTTCTTTTCATATATCTACTTTTAACAAGGGGTTGGTTGGTGCAACGATAAAAACAAGGGCTGAAAGGCGTGGAAATGGAGGTTTGAGTCTAAGAGAAGCCACTTTGGGCCGAAAATATGCCAAAGGCTAGGTCTATATCCAGTTCACCCTCCCAAGACCCCAGATAGCTCAGACCAACATTGGGTGATGGGCTTAATGGCCTTTATATATTTATTATTATTTTTTTAGAGAAAAGTATATTCATTATTTACTTTTAATCATGACATGCTAATCTAAACATGGGCCAGACCATACTGATTACTGATATCTAACTGCAGTTTGGTGTAGTTGAAGATGGACAAAATCCCAATGAGGTCTTTGCCATCTCATCACCTAAATGCATTATCATGTGTCTAATATTGTTTGGGGTTGCTAGATAACCCCATGTATTTTGATGTTGTTTGCATATGATTCAAATTAGCACCTCAAGGGGAATATCAAGCCCCCCTGGTTGATTAGTATTAGAGTTCGGCCTACATGTTAGACTGATAACAGTCAAGGAAAAGAGAGAAAGAGAGAAAGGAGAAGAGTAGAAGAGAGGACAAGGAGAAAAAGGTCTGGTTTGAATGAGAGAAAAGTCAACCCTCCCATTCGGCCAGATCTGTTTTATATTACTAAAAATATTGTGGAAAAGTCACATGTGCCCCTACTTAAGTTAGGGACATTAGATCTAACATAAACTTACACATCAACACCTAACCATAAGCACAAAAGACAGAAATACCCCTACATA